TCGAGACAGATACTGGTGATGCTGAACAACTATAGCACAAGGTATTCTTTACCGAAATGACCAATGACCGCTTGAGTGAATATTCCGGACGTTATAGCCTTAAAAGCTGATGGTTTCACTTCGAGGATGCTCCGTTCAGCATTCGATTATCTCCTGAACATCAATTAGAACAAGTGGATACCGAATCAAAACATTCTCAAATACCAGCCATCATTGATTTCTCTTGTTCCCCTAGTTCTTCAGTCAGACTTGAACTGTGAATGTGCGTAAACTTAATTTCTCACCGGTAACGTAAAGTTCGCAAACCATTTCCAAGTCTCACATAGACTTTCGCTTCGGGTCAGAATGATGCTGTGTCATTCACGTTGTCCGGATGAAGTATCTCGCATGCCTAAGGTAAAAACATTACAACGAGACTTTTATCTTTGTGCTCGTCATAGTTAGACTTACTTCACAGGTCAGTCGGCTGTTATTTTTATGTTTTATCACGTCGAGAAGGTAAGCTGTCCGGTTTTGAATAATATACCGGGTATTGGATAGACAGACAGATCAGCAGAAATTACGTCAACTATTCACTCTGGTTGCGATTACGACTTTGGACGATCATCACACTGTAATATTATTGATGATTAAGTGTCCGCCACATGCAACATTGCAAGATGGGAAATAAATAATTTTAGCTTAGAGTACTACATAGAAAACAGTAGTAAAACCTGGGGATTATTATGAAAAGATTTAAAAAGTGAAGGAAATTTGTATGACTATGTATTCAACATTCACTTGTGTAAGTATTCTTCATGACTCAATGTTTGCAGTTAGCCCCTAAATTCCCTATCGACTCGTTTATAATATTGTACATAAAAGTTTTTCTTCACTACATTAATAGGGTGTGGCCAAATCTGACCACTGATTCATCTAGGGTTTACCGGGTCCGTTTTGTTCGACAAGTGGATTATCAATGGATAAAACGAGTTTTACGTGCGAAGGCACTTACACCCACATAAAATTCGACTTTTTCCCGACATCCCGTTTGTTTTGTTGAGAGAAAGATTGCTATACTCCACTCAACTGGAAAACGCTTCGAGTGTTCAGCCGCTCGAAATGCCCTTGCTTGCGGGTCGATTGTGGTTTGTGAGACTCGATCGATTAGATTGATGATAGATGACAAATTATGGGCCTCCAGTGGGCAGCGCGGGCGAGTGAACGCCGACTCGCAGCGCATCAGATCACAATCGGCCCCGAAGAATATTTTCCCAATGCTTTGAACATATTTCGAATTTAGGATTACAAATATCGTTCACAATTAAAACCGGGGTACGGTACATCGCTATCGTCGGTGTTTTCTAAGAACTCACAATCTTTCTCACACTGAAAGGATGTGTACTTCAACTAGGTTGATAATACCACAGTTGATTGCTCTTCTGACTGCAGCACCCGTGGTCAACCGTGAAACAGGCATATTTGATTTCATTTAAGAGAATCTCGTAGCTTGTTCAGAAAACAGCGAATATGTTCATCGTGAGCCATAGATACTGTTCTACCTATAACAGATTTCCTTGAATCTTGTTGGACAACTCCACCCCAAGTTTTGCATCTTACTAATCTCGATGTTTACCTCACATCAGCTATCACATGTTCTGCTCGCATTCAGAAGACCTCTCTACCTCGGACACGCATATGGCACCCATTCTAAGATAACTAATGCTACTACACTGACATTATTTGGAATCCCATTCGATCTTGCTTATTATGTAACTGGACTTAGCTATGATCAATTTTTTTCTTGTGAACGACGGATTGATGGTATTGTTTACGATATATCTCATCCGTTTCATGCTAATCTGTCATGCTGAACCCCTTCGTGAGTTGCTTTTAAAGAGAATGAACTCTATTTGTGAAATCACGACAGTACAACACCGCCCTCAGCGTACCTTATTTTACCAAGAGATTTCGTTCAAACAAACGTGTTTCAGTGAACAAAAAAACACAAATTGACATTCTACTGATTGCAAAGTTTAAGCTTAACTTCCTCTACCCTCCAAAATGATAATCACGGACAATTCGCACCACAATGGACATGATCTGATTTGAAAATGTGAATCAATGGACCACTGTTCAAGCTGGATTCAAATTGACAGACAGTTGTCATCTGGATACGAAATAAGAACTGAATAAATACATCCAGACAAATTTCCGACCTTGCTTCGAAGTCACCTGCATCCTTTTTGTGTTTTTGTGGTATTGTGGTGTGACACCCATGAACAGTCACCTAAAGGTTTACTCACCAACAAAGGGAGGATAGCAAGTGAACTTTACGTTAACCCTAAACCACAGAATATCCCTATACCGTCTGTAGGCACTTTTTCCCAGTTTACTATGTTTCATGTAACAGTTGACATGTAAAGCTTTTTCACCGAAAGTTAAGCTTCAGTGCTAGCAAAAGTTGCACGTTCCAATCCAGTTCAATTCAGTTGTAAGTGTGTTTAATCATAACCATATGGTAATATTGTGTAAAATGGCTAATTTATTTGTTTCTTAATACTAAACACCGAATAATAGACACCGAAAAGAACTACTGTTGGGTGGAGTGAGGTCCACTGAATCGTAAGAGTACGACAACATTAAACATTCAATTAAAGCCATTGGAAAATTCGGTGACTTGTATTACTTCCATATGAATAAAAGTAATACAAACTGAGTTAGAATCAAGTCCTGAAGGAACATTAACTTGTTCACTCTGCTCTTCTCCACTCATAAGTCACCTTTATCATCCAAATTCTGCATCAGTACGCAAAATATAAATTGCTGTATTATAGTTTTGGAAAGACATAAAGATTCGGCACATTACTTGTGTTTGTCGCGTAAAACGAAGTGACATGGAACGGAACGGAACAGGCTGTGGTCAATACCATGGACACATTTGTAAATCACTTTTTCGTTTTGGGAAGATCATCCGGCTTCACAGCTGCTACTCCCTCTTGAGTGAATTTCATTTATGGTGATGTACTTTTAGTAGTTTTTAAACAGTATGGGATAGAGGCTTGGTGCTCTCATGATCTTTTTAACATTAAGCAATGATATTTCAACAATCACTACGAAAACGCTTGATAGGGTTTATGATCCTATCTCTCCGGCAAAAGAGATTGTTTAGTTATTATTTGTTTCACATTAAAGGCAGGGTTTACACAATCAACTACCTATTGTGTGTACCACGCGTGAGCGCCATTAGTCTATGATTTTGCAGCGCTTAGTAAATTTGAAAACGGTTAGTCTCACTAAACTGATTGCCACTGGCTGTGTACTGGAAAAGTCACAAATCGTACCAATGGAAGTGGAGACTTCCCGATTACCCGCCGGAGAGAGTTATTCAACGAATTATCACATCATAAACGCACATGACAATCCTTGTGTTTTTATCTGAACTTCTAAAATGCCACCACTACCGCTATACATATCTTTAAAGAGCAATAATATACTCTTTGTGGGGCATTTAATTCTTGGGAAGTATGTTGTGGACACTTGTAAACTGCGTGGGCACCCGCAGAACAAGGAACAACATAGACGGCAATAGTAACACATGAACAGTTGACCACCACCTCTCTCTGAATTTTGACTGCGATCTTAATTGGTTGACCATTCCCAAAGCAACTTTGGCAATATATTGTCCTCATTTTTTATTTTATTAGAAAATTAAAACGCAATTGATTGTGGTACTTTCTCTGCACACCGCCTATGCGGTTCGACCATTTATTTAAATGAACATATGATTCGAATCTCGGACAGAAAACATCTTTCGTGCGTTACCGATTTACTCATCCACACGAGCTAATACCAATGTGAAGTATTAAAAAAAGACTGAAATTATTCCATCCTACCTGTAAATATTTGCCGAAAAACAACATAAATGTGTGTAGATTAATATCTGCCACTGAGTTTGTCATAAAAAGGAAATTGCGGACGTAATAAACGTTTTCCGGTAGGTTTCGTACTTTTTAGACTATTTGAATAGTATATATACCCTATTCAGTGATTACTGGAGACGTTTCGATCAGAATAGCAAAAAGTAATACAAACCGAAGTGTTTCTGAACCTGAAAAAGACTCCATGGGCTACTAGTCGGTCTGTGCCCAAAATCCTTAAGTATTTAAATATTTTGGATTACCTCACCAAAGCGTCCGTCGGAATTCCAGTGTTACGGAATCTGTCGCCATAATTCTGTCGCAGTCCAGTTTTGTGTACTCCGAAAAAATCATTTTGTTTTTGCACTGTGTTCCACCCAATAAATAAGAATTTGAATCGAGCTGACAAACCTGATTGTCTAAGCATTGCTTACTGCCGATAAGAAAGGATTTATTGGAATCATCAACAAAAATGAAACAAGCCCACCTGTAATAAATGTGCTAAATGACGAGCAAAATAAAATTCACCGAGGCGTCATCGAATAAATCATCTGAACTATTATCTGGTCAGCTGTTTTGTGCTGACTATGAATCGAAAATTTTCGAAAATTTCCAATGCAGAAAGTTTGTTCCAGATCTAGGACGTACGGTATGGTCATTATTGATCGATCAGTTCATGCAGGTCTGAGTGAACAGACCTAGTTTTCAGACATTCAGTTTGCTTATTTCACTTACACCCCAAAACCCTCTCTCTCTCTCGCGCGCGCGCGCGCGCTCTTACTGCCTTCACTCAAATGGGGGAAAATCGGAGACCTGCTCGCATCAATAACAGCTGACGTCTAAAACCCAAGTGCTAATTGCTGCTCCACAAGACGTGAACTCTCCTATTACCTTAGACGATCATGTGAACCACAAGGAAAGTGGAAAAGCACCTCTAGATCCATTCTCACTCAGTGTCTCACCTATTACTTTGATGTCTCAGAAACAGTACACACTTATGTCAATTTGTAATTACCTAATTGAATTCTACAACGGCTTCAAACCAAAACACGGAGCGGTGAACATTTACTATGTGCACACGGGTCATAATTTGCAGTGTCCATGAGAACCAACACGTGGTAAGAAAACTCAAAAACTCTTACATTGTTCGTTGTGAATCATTCAAATCCCTTAATTTATGCTGATGAAAGATTTTGCTAATATCCCTAAATTTCATTCAACGTCTTCACCCTGTAGGAACTCACAAAACTTGTATTCTGAAGAAGAACGACGAAGAGTTAACCCTAAAACGGATAACAATCTGTTTATTGCGTTTCATTCTCAAAACAGATATGCGTTTAATTAGCCGAATTTTGACTCATCTGACTCACGTCTATTCTCATTACAACAAGATCCTCCCTATATATACATATATATGTATATATATATATATATCACTGTCTCACCAGCAAGTGGGTTATCACTGTGTGGAAGAAAAAATGGACTTGACCGCATTGAATGAATGAATCTGCTGTGGTCAGTTCACTTCAGCCCCTTTTGATTCGGGACCCTTATATCCCTCTGTCTGAGCATCGTCATTGCGAAGCAATTAGGGAACGTTTATTCGGCAAGGAATTTGCATTGAAACAGTTGGTACTATAAATGAGATATCGAGATAAACCGATTCGGTATAATACACAACATAATCAGAGCTTTTTAATTACACACGAAGTGATTTACAACAAAAGGGGTAAACCGCATAATCACTCATATACGGTAAAGGGGGAGGTATGTGCGGGAACATTCAAGCAAGAACCGATTTGTTAATCCTGCTTTTGAAAAGGGTAAGGTTATGAGAGCTGGGAAACAGGGAAATGGGAAGAGTGTTCTACCACTTCGCTGTCCTCGGAAAAAAAGAAGATTGAAAGATAGAAGTCCGACATCTGGGGACAGAAACCTGATAAGGGTGACCGTCCACCCGAGAACAAGATGGACGAGAGAAGGTCAATGAAGGGGGAACCGCTGAAGCGAGTTCGGAAGAGCAGAAACCAAAATAGTAACGATAGAAAAGAGATAACGAAGCCACTGCTGCCCGGCGATGGGAAAGCGACTGCGAGGTGGAAGTTTAAGACAGTTCGTCGATCAGCCGGATGGCTTTACGTTGAACACGGTCGAGGTCGGAATACGAAGCTCCACCCCATATGTGACTGCATCGGGCGGATTTGAGCTTTGTATGAAAGAAGAAGGTGCTTGGGTGTAAACAAACGCCCAGCGCGGAATAGAAAACCAACTTTGTGCTCAGCGCGAGAGGCAAGCGTAGAAATAAAAGGGGACCAGCAGAGAGAAGAATTTATGGATAAACCCAGGAGGAAGAGAGAATTCGGGGAACGAAGGGGCAGAGAATGAAAAATCAATTGAGGAGAATATGGAACACATTTAAGAGAGACTGAGGAGAGAAGTTCTGAAAGCATTGAAGCACATGCCGAGATTAGTCCGAGATTGGAGATAAGAGAAGCACTAATGACATTACGATCGTGATCGATGTTGGTGTAAGCTTGACGGAGTGTGTGGTAAGAAAGAGTACAATGGAGAGTGGCATCATCGGCAAAGCAGTCAATGGGATTAGAGGTTTTGGGTTTTGTGCTATTCTTGCACAACTTTACAAGCACGGATTGAACTCGCATGATCAAAGCTTCCGGGTTAGAAAGAGCGTTCCCCTTTCCAATGTCATGCTTGCTTATCGACAGTTGTGGATAAATGGCATTCACTCCGGACCTTATCTCCCCGATTACAATGCTCTTAATTGTCTTTTATTGTCAACTGGATGCACAGATCAAGCGGCATCAACAGAAATCCACGATAGCTCAACCTCTCGTCAGCACTCAGGCGCACGAGTAGGGAAGAGCGTGGTTGACACAAACACGTGTGTATTATAGTGACCAATAGTTGGTGATATCAACATGCCGTACATACTAAGGAAGAAATGCTCCGGGAATCGTGTGGATCATTAGTTTCCTTGTGCGCCTGTGACGCTCTCCCTCGCTCTTGTTCTGTGTTTGAAGTGTTCACACATTCTATGCCTGGAAAGTATAATAGGGATAGGGAATAATAGGGATCATCAATAATGCTGACAACTTCTATGACCCGTTCGATTTCCAATAGCGTTACAATATTACTGTTTGAATTAATTTGACCTTGAGTATTCCGATAGAATTTCTAGTCGTTCGAACTTAACAGCTCGTTCCCAGCGGTTGCACGAAGATTACATGAAATGTTGTGAACGTATAGTTGCGACATTTTATAAACCTCGTTTAATTGTCGTGGTTTATGTAAAATAGGAACGTTTTGATTAATTTCTCTTAAATGTGTATTTGTCGCTTGCTGGACTTCATGTGATACGAAGTGCTGGGATAAGATTTATGTGAAATACAAACAATACTTGTAGGAATCCCAGCTAGTTCCAACCAACGTTAGATGACGTACTTGTACTACAGACTGATAGCTGTCTTATGTCATCATCAATAGTTGATAGTTAACAAATATTGACGAGAGCGAAATGCCCCGCGGACCGCAATGCAATCCTAGCTATCGTTGACTTGCCAGATTTTTGATAGTTTATCCCGGTGAAGTTGATGGATTGGAGGAGCGTATCCGAATGGTTGATGATGATGACTCGGATAATGACTCGGATGACTCGGATGATGATGAAGATGACGATGATGATGATGATGATGATGATGATGATGATGATGATGACAATAACCTGATTGAGGATGATAATTATGCCAAAACATTATCCTTGTTGGTAGAAATTTGTAATAATTGATGAATAACAGATGTTTATACAAATATCCACTGGAAGATGGGCGACAGTGAGCTAAGTGAGTGAATAGAGCAGAAAGTGATTTCAAAAGATCAGCAAATAAATTCTGAGCTGGGTCAGAAATAACGTTCTCCGCTAAGCAAACACAAGATTTGAAGTACTATGAGGACTAAGCAAAAGAAGTGAATAGCGAACAAACGAGTTAGATGGTAGATAATACATGACGGATTAGATTGATTTTAGGACAGGTTCGTGAATATTGCAGAGGGCAATAAAGAAATATTGGAAAAATGGTGTTGGAATAAAAACGGTATGGCTATTAGACTGCCACTGGATTGTCTGAAATCACAATGATGAAAAGATACACCAGACAACCAAACTGCGATGTGTTCACTCCAGATAAAATTGTATTCCAATATGAACTCCGTTCATTTTATAGTGTCAATTGAGGAAAGTAAATGAAGACGAATTGCAGGAAAGACTAGGAGCGCATGTGTGTGTGTGTGTGTGTGTGTGTGTGTGNTGCGATGTGTTCACTCCAGATAAAATTGTATTCCAATATGAACTCCGTTCATTTTATAGTGTCAATTGAGGAAAGTAAATGAAGACGAATTGAAGGAAAGACTAGGAGCGCATGTGTGTGTGTGTGTGTGTGTGTGTGTGTGTGGAGGGGGTATGATAAAAAGCACTTAAAACATTTAAAAGTGTTTAAATTGACTTCAGAATGATTGTACAGCTGCGGAACTGTAAGCACCAGTCAGAGAAGTTAATAGTTCTGGACTGAGACGAAACAGTTTGCAATGCTGAATGGTTGAACAGGAGAGGAAACAGTAAGATGATTGAACTAAACGATGAAGAAGTAAAGGGAGTGTTTCTGTCCCTTGCAGAACACGACAGTTTCTAGCAATCGGCTTTGTTACGGTTTTGTCAACCTTGGCACTTTTAGTCCCGTGAGAGAAACCGTGTTTCGGACAACCAACCAACCAACCAACCAACAAAGTCAATAACTAGAGTAAGCAGATTATAGGCACTTGTTGAGCAATTATGAACCAATAATCAGTTTCTTTGTTCCTTCCTTCAAGGACACGGCCAGTTTCCCTCAAAGTGCGTCTTCAGTTCATTTTCCAGTGTTCTGATTAGCACAAGCTATACGGACGTGAACAGTGCGATTTCACTTACAGTTGACGGGCACGCATAGCTCGAATCAAACAACAGACAATGATTGCAATCCGTGATTGATTGACACATTGGTCCAGCATCAGTCCGTTTGTGTCAGGACCGGCGGGGTGTACGTTCGCGGGCACGGGCGCGCTCGATTAAGGCACCAAAACACTTATCCCCCACCCCATAAAAACGGTTTCTGGCGAATAGCGTGCAGTGTTTAGAATAAAATCATGCTTAAACCAGGAGAGAAAAGAAATCTGCAATTATTATTTCTGCTTTCGACTAAAATTTACAGTGTCACATTATGGTGAAATGCTCAATCGTATTCGGTATTCCGAATGATATATTGCATAATGCTTTCCTTTCCAATGCAGGGTCTATCAATTGCTGTGTTCAGTTATAATATTTTCCGACTGAGTGATGTCCTCTCTTGCCATCCGCAAAGAAGTGAGATTTGGAGAGAGAGAGAGAGAGATGGAAGAGTATGGCTGATGGAATGATTCAGACCCATGGTAAGCAAGACTGTGACATGTGACCACTTATCCGTAGATGGAACAGAACGAGGGCATTATACTGGTGGAATAATCTCCATTGTTTGCGAATAACCAATCCATAGTCTGAGACGAGAGTCGAATCTCATCCTCAAATACGATATGATAGCGTCAGTGTGTGTGTGTGTGTGTGTGTGTGTGTGTGCACATTGAAGCAGACAAGTAGTCTAAGAACAAGGTCACTTGGAGTCAGTTAACACATCAAGAGGAACTGCCCGGCTGATACTCGTTGCATACCATTTTTTATCGAGATCGACCGAGTTACGCGTACTCACTCGCTATTCATGCGAACTGCGATTTGAATGAACTGTTTTTCGGGAATAACCGCTTGCATCGACTGCAAAACAATATAAAGTGAAACAAAAGCTATACTCCCTCCTTACAAGAATGACTTTCTGAATAGTATCTTTCAAAATGTGTGCACCTCTTGCGCATCCAATGGTAAAACAATCACATATTCATTCGTTTGGGTTCGTCGAGTTGGAAAAAACAAACGCATTCACAATCGTTCTTCATGAGCCAGTGGGAGTTCTTCAGCGTTTGTGATACGGTCGTACGTAGTCCGCGTTTCACACTGTTGTGTGCACTGATGTATACTTTTACATACATACATATATAAATATATACGAATATCTGTGCGTGTGTGTGTATGAATGAACTATAGTCCGAGAGCAGAGTAGCTGACTGGTGGTAATATGCAGAAGTACAGAATAGATATTTAACAATTCCCGAAACGGATTCAGACCAGTTGGGCACAATTTGCAATGAGCTTAACACCACCAAATGTAAATCACAGGATGATAGAAACCGCCTTTTCCCCTCAGGAATGGGAACAAGGATAGAAGTAACGTGTGACTGCATCACATGTGACATTATTAATCGAAAGATTATGGTAAAACGAGGGATCACATTTTTTTACTTCAACGCTTTACATATAAATACGGTTTGAAACTACTACGAAGATAGGACAATACAGCGAATCAAAGAAGAGTATTTGGGGTAAAGCACATCGATTGTGGCGCTCGAGAGGAAGGGAAGGGGTTCGAACACGCGAGCGACGAATGTAGTGCATTTGAACAGGTACATACTACAGGGAGTGATGAATCAAATATGTAACAAATATGTAACACATAAGTATGCAACACTGCGTAGCGTATACAAATGTTGGGATACAGCGCAGTCCGTGTAGATACGGAAAACAGGGAAAACATTTATTCACAGACTGGGCAGAAAATTTCAAACTGATTTCATAATGTGCTCGGACAGATGAACTCGGTCAGTTAGGATGTCCCCCGTTACAAATTTGAAGTATTACGCTTCTCAGTTAGGATCCCTTGGGTCTGGTTTGTTTTGTTTCTCAAGTTGCTCCGTTTTTCTGGCATTCAAAAACAAGAGATTTTGTGCAAATACTGGAGCGGACAATCGCAATGTCCTTTTGGACAAAGTTTCTCGTAACTTCTGAAAGAACGATCGTACAGAAATCGATTTGGTAACATTCTCTTACATACTCTTATTGTAAACGTTTTAATAATATAAAAATCATTGTGAAGTCAAGTGACGTAATTGTGACTCCCGTGTTCCCCCAAAATTCATTCAATTCACTAAAAACCAAACAGATTGAAACTTATAAAAATGTCTGTCAATGACCAAAATAAAGGCAATTGTTTTCCTGATTTTGTCCAGAAACAAAAACAGAATCTGAAGGAGAACAGTGGCGCTATCAGATTCCGCCAAAACGTGTCTACACCTCACGTCCAAACTCATTCGATAAGATGATCTCTTGATAGTGATGATTACACACCAGAGACCGTAAACCAAAAGTATTGTATGTAACATGACGCATAATAATGACTAAGTTAGAATAACACCCAGAATACCATGTGCATGCCCCATCGCTTTTTGATGGTACATCTCGGTAGGGCTGTGTGCTTCACGCTTTTGTGACAGCAGCACAAGAAATAAAATAACGGTGAATGAATCCTTCAGATTACATAGGTAGACGCAGATGAACAGACTTGTATGCGGTAGATCGCGGGAATTACCGTGCTCGTATTCCCTAATTGGAGTCGGGCCCGGAGACGCACTATGAACTTCGTTGATAATCGAATTCGGTTGGTGCAAGTTCCGCCAATTCACATAACTGTCTCCAGTTGGGCACTCTTAATCACCCTTCTCATTCTCTGGTAAAACTATCTGGGAAGAAATGAAAGTTGGTTGAGTATGAGTTCATGATCTTCTTTCTGACTTCATAATCCAGACTGCAGGAAAATCATAAGAAAACTAATGTATGTCGCTCTAGTTTCCACAAAAGTGAACTCCAATTGTGTTCTTTGTACTGCAGCGCAAGTTGTCGGTTGCACCGTCCGATACTTGGCCGATCGAATAGGAGAACACCAATGAACTCGGCCCCGTCGAGGACCGATTAGGGTGGCTATGAATGCGGTCGCTATATATCTGGCCGAGACGAATCACACCGTGGATGTGCGGGAATCATTCCGTTCGACCTATTCAACGACGGGCTTACAGTCTCGGGGCTGTTCAGGTCTGATTGCTATCTACGGCATAGGCAATAGCGATTAGAATCAGCAAACCCCCACTATGAGCACAGAAGCAGTCCGTGATCATATGATCGAAATGCTCTCACCTAGACTTCCGCAGACGATTTTTACCAATTACGACGCGGTCAGTGTTTGAATATCCACCTCCCATTTTGCACATACAAAAAGCCTGATTTTTCTCGCTCCTTGTGTTGTTTCCCTAAGTTATGTGCTCTAATTGGCCAGTAGATGAAGCACTGCAAGAAAGATTGTCCGCCACATGTTTGTTTTTCTCCTCAGAATCTATCGGGACTATTGACTGTCTCAAGCAACAAACACTTTAGTCAGTGAATCCGAAGGCCACGACTAATGAGAAAAAGCAAAACCCACCTGACATTTGAGTTGGCTTGAAGATGTCACATTGAAAACATGTCCAAATTAATTGCGACTATATCTATCTATCTATCTATCTATCTATCTATCTATCTATCTATCTATCTATCTATCTATCTATCTATGTATATATATATATATATATATATATATATATGTATATATGTATTTCATCCAGTGCAATACTGATAGAAATTTGTCTATCGGAGTCACAGTCGTTGTAGACTGACATAAATCTTTCACCAAATGAAAGAAAAAAAGACAAAGAGCACTGACCAATGTTTGCTCTTTATTGCACACAAAGATACAGGTACCGATATTTCTCACTCCTTCCATATTGAATATTTCAAAATTACCG